CATTGCCTCTTTGGCTTTTTCCCTTCTATATATTATACAGGAATGGCCTGACAGGTGGGCTGGGAGGGGAGTTGGAGTGGCTTGTCTTTAAATTATTGCTGCTTTCTCATGTAGCTTTCTAGGTGTACATGGGGAAGCTGTAGCAGCATAACCTAATATGTGAATTTTAAACCAGTGTAAACCTCTCTGTGGACATGCTTATTTTGGTGTAAGAGTGACTTCTGATTTTTAGTTAGTCTGTTAAGTTTAAAGTGCAATAAGCCACTCTCAAACAAGACTAAGTGAACATGTAGAGGTTTGTATTGGCTTAACTACACTGGTTAAAAATGTTTAAAGTTGAACTGGTGCAACTTTCCCCTGTACACTAGCCCTTAAATATCAGGAATATCTCATCTGGTTCCCCTGGTTTTGAGGAAAAACATCTTGGGTGGATATTGTGAGCTCCCTACCTCTTACTTGACCAGGAATAGGGTTGCTGAATCCTTAATATGTTTTCTCCAAAATTTTGATCAAAAGAGTTAAACAGGCCTAAATAAAAATAAACTCAAATCACAGAACTTTCAGTGGTCTACCTAAAAATCCCTCTTGTTCTCTTGACTCTTGTAATGTTGCTCGGCCTCTGGTCACTATAGTTTTCCAGGTTAGAAAGGAGATGAATTTCTAATGAAAAATTTCTGCCCTTATCACTCATAATCAAAAGAAGGGTGTGCTACTAATTTCCAGGAACACTTGGCTGCAGGAGCTGGCCTCTGAAGATTTTTATCCCACAGTCTTTCCTAAACCAGATTCTAGTAGGATCCTTAGATCCTGAAAGCTTGTTACACTCAAACAAGTTCTAACTACTGACACACACTGTGCTTCCCTTCACTTAATGATTACTGGCTCCCTTTTTGCCTGGAGCTTATAGCAAGGGAAGACACTTATTTACAGGAGACCATAGATACCCATTTGAAGTGCTAGGGGTAAGAGACTTTTCTTCTGCTAGCCACACTACTTTTCATTTTTGCTTTCTCGCACTCCTTTCCTAGACCAGTCTGTCCTGACTAGAACCTACTTTTGTATACAAGTGTATATTCTACAATAATAGTGCACAGCTGTCCCTCTTACAGCATGCAAGGTGGTTGCTTGTTGCAGTATATTCTTGATGTGGTAGAGGTCCTGTAACCCCAAATGTTATGAGTTGGACATAAGATTTGGGGTAGGTGTCCTGCACTCATCTTTTGTTTCCTGGATATCTCCCACCCACTTTTTATTTTTCTGCATTTTATTACAGCTTCTGTAGACTGCTGCTCAGAAAGGATCTGGGATAAAAGGGCTAGAATGAAATCTTCCCGGGTGCCATGATTAAAAACCCAAGTAGATAGGAGGAGGAGGAGGCAGCAGTGCTATAGCAAGAGATGAGTGCAGTTCTTCCTGTGCATCAATTCTTCTGCCTTGTTATAGTATAGGAAGGGAGACGCTTAAAGCTTGCTACTTATGCTCTCTAGCTTTCCCTCTTTAGGTGCTCTGGCCCTGCTTGTGAAGGGAGAGGTTGAAGCAATTGGCTTATATCTCTGAAAATGTCACATTTAAACAACCTTACTGGTGTTGGGTGTAAATGGCCAGCTGTAGACTAAATGTCAAGCTGCCTGTACCTTACCAAAAGAAAAATGCATAGAAAAACCATTCTGTGTTGTTCCTGGGCTCCAAACTAAGAAACTCTGCATGGATGTCCTTGATGTTTTATGAGGAATAATGAGTCTGTTACACCGAACCATTAATCAGTGAAGTGCAAAAGTACTGAGTAAGATGCATAGGCTAAGTCTTAAAACATAGCCTGTGAAGACACAACTATAGAGGTAATGAAGTCAAGCTACAATCCATTCCACTCAATTTGATGGGGACCATGTAGGCAAATACTGTACATGTATGGTAGTGTAGAGGACAAATCCAAATGCTGCCATATTGGCTGTTACAGTTGTAAAGTCTTTCTTAAAAGTAAAAAGAAAAGGAGGACTTGTGGCACCTTAGAGACTAACCAATTTATTTGAGCATGAGCTTTCGTGAGCTACAGCTCACTTCATCAGATGAGCTGTAGCTCACGAAAGCTCATGCTCCAATAAATTGGTTAGTCTGTAAGGTGCCACAAGTCCTCCTTTTCTTTTTGCGAATAGAGACTAACACGGCTGTTCCTCTGAAACCTGCTTAAAAGTAATGAGGAAAGGGCATCAGGCCCCACTTTACTGTGTGGCTGCTGGGTGAACTCTTTACAAGGATAAGAAGTTATGCTACTGTGACCTCTGCTAAGCCTAGGGGCAGACTATGATGCTGCTGTGGGAAGGGAGCATGGGTGTGAATCTAAGCCCTAGTTTTTTAAAGATTATTCCCAGGTATACAAAGCTGTGCTTCGAACATAAAGGCATACCGTTTCCTGAGCTGAAGATGGCGGTAGTGGGGCTGCTGCATTATCCAGCAGTCAAGTCAGCTTGGGCTTTGCCTCTCTTTAATTGAATTAAAGGTGAATGTGAACAACCTTCTGTGTAGTAGCCTTTGTTTTACATGGTCCAGCCATGCTGCATTTATGCCCCTGCTGTGCCACACATTTTGGTGTAGATAAGGGGCTGGAGATTTGGGATTCTGTGCAGGTACCCAGGGGGAGTGGGGGTTGGCACCAGGGGGAGGATATTCTCTTCCTACCTGTCCCACCTGGGAGCAGAGCTGCAAAAACTACTCTAAAGTGTCACTAAACTTGACCTCCTCCCCTCTCAGGCAATGGTGTCGCCTTACTTTACAGTGAGTGAAGGGCTGGAAGCACGTGGGCTTTCTGACCATTGGGCCTAGGCCCTCTTTTCAGTTGTTTGTAGTTGAGATAAACGTGGCGCAGGTAAGGGCCTAACGATCTGTGCTGTACAGGCACCTATGCCAAAGAGCAGCTTTGCCTCAGACCCAGCTGTCCTTTTGCGGCTTTAGCGCTGCAGTTCTCAAACTGGAGTCTGAGAGGAGGTCTGAGAGTCATGTCTGGGGCCTTTGGCCCTGCTGCTCAACTCTTCCCCCTCCCTTCCAGTACCTCCTGCAGCCTTGGAACAGTTATTCAGCTGTGTGCAGGAAGTGCTAGGAGGGAGGGGGAGGAGCAGGCATGGGGGGTGCTCGGAAAGAAAAAGGATGGGGATGGAGCCTTGGGGGAAGGGGTTGGCTTTGTGTAATTACAGGTTTCAGAGTAGCAGCCGTGTTAGTCTGTATTCACAAAAAGAAAAGGAGTACTTGTGGCACCTTATGCTTTGTGCCCCTACTCTACTTGCGCTACACTGATGACATCTTCATCAGCTGGACCCATGGAAAAGAAGCCCTTAAGGAATTCCACCATGATTTCCATCCCACCATCAACCTCAGCCTGGAACAGTCCACACAAGAGATCCACTTCCTGGACACTACAGTGCTATAGTCTCAAGGTGCCACAAGTACTCCTTTTTTCTTTTTGTGTAATTAAAGAGTGTGCAAACACCCTTGCCCTGTCTCTCTCCCTCCCACCCCCTCACTCACTTTCAGTCGGGTAGGGGAGTGGGATGCAGGCACTGGCTGGGCAGTGCTTACTGTGGGTGGCCCCTCTTAGAGATGCAGCGGAGCTAAGGCAGGCTGCCTGCCTGCCCTAGCCCTACACTACTCCCAGAAGTGGTTGGCACAACTCCCATTGGCCAAAGTTCCCAGCCAATGGGAGCTGCAGAGTTGATGCTCAGGGTGGGGTAGTGCCCTGACTCATCTCCCCCACCCCTAGGGGCTGCAGAGCTGTACTAGCCGCTTCCAGGAGCGGTGCCACGGCGGCCAGGTAGGCAGGGAGCCGCTGTGCCACTGGAATTTTAGTGGCCTAAAGTTTTGGCTTCAGTAGCCTCCGGCTGATGGAGCCTGATTCTGGGAGCCTCCCACTGACCATGGGAGTGTTGGCAACCATCACCCCTAGGGAAAAAGTAGGGGGGGGGGGAGAGAGGAAAAAGTATGTGTTGTTTTTCTTCTCCGATCAAGTAGGAGATACCTGTGAAATAATATAAACATTAAAAACAAACAAACAGCTAAGCCTATGGCTGAAACTCAGGCCTGCTGCTGTTACCCTTGCTCCCCTGTCGGGCCAGTGAGAGGAGCATAGTGTAGGCGAGTGCCCTACTCTTACGCTCCCTGAGAGCAAACAGCTCCAATGACAGTGGGAGGGGTGGAGAGCTGAACCCACAGCCCAGGACACAGCCACTGCAAGGTGCTCACAGCTGACAGCAGCTGCCCACCCAGGACCCAAAAGCCCCTGGCACCAGCCAGCTGCTCCAGGCCTAACTGGACAGGGTAGGGGGCAGAGCAGGGTCACTCGTTTCTATCGTAGGGGGAGCTCCTGCGTCGGAGAGAAGGACGGGACCCGACCCAGGGGAAGAAATGGTCCGGCTGGCTCCGGCAGGCAGGGCAGAGATTTAAACCGGTTCACACCAGCCTCGAGCTAGCTGGGACAGGACGCTCAAGCAGGAGCCGTAGGGGGACAAGCTCCGCACCCCAGGAGAGGGGGGCACCAGAGGAGGAGAGCTCGAACCTGCACCGGGAGGCAGACAGCCCCGCTCCCCGCATGGACAGAACATAGGGAGGGGCAGGGCCCACCCCCCAGGCTGTTTTCCCCATGCTCGGCGTACAGAGCGGGGCTGCTGGCCCCACACATGCAGCCGCCTTCTCTCCCCCCACCCACCCACCGACAGTCTCCCCTGCAGCGCTGGGACGCGCCAAGTGCATCAACCCGCTCCCGCCAAATTTCCCAGAGCCCCCGCAGCTAAGCGCCGGTTCGCTCCCCGAGCCCTCCCCCCCCCCGCTAAGCGCCGGTTCGCTCCCCGAGCCCACTCACCCCCCAGCTAAGCACCGATCCACTCCCCGAGCCCATTTCCCGCCGCCCCCGCTAAGCCTCAGTACGGCCCCCCGCTCCCATTCCCCCGCAGCTAAGCAGCGGTCCGCTCACCGCGCCCGTCCCCTCCCCCCCGCACAGACGGAGAAAACAAATCAAAGGTTTGAACAATTTATTGACCAACAACAAAAAAGGCCATTGACTCTGAATCCCGAACACGTGGTACACCGCGTGGGGGCGGAGGGCCGCAATGGGCAAGGCCGCCCCCCCCGCCACGCGCACAACCAGCGTCACCCCGCAACATGGGTCCAAGGCTGCGACAGCCCCGCTGCTGGGGCAGCTCCTCGCGACGCTCGGCTCCGCACAGGCACTGCCCGCACGCCGTGATGCGGCTCACCGAACGGGGGGGAGGTGCCCTTTAGGAGCTACCCAGGCGCCATTATAGCGAACCGGCGCCTAACTGGCCGTTTCCATGGCGCCAGGGCGAGAACCAATAGAGGGCGTGGTCACTGTTCGAAAAATTCTGAAGTAGGCCAAAAGACCCCCCCCCCCCGCAACAGGGCAGCGGTGCCGGGACCCGTGGGGACCCACGTGGCATCGCCCCCTACCGGGGGTGGAGCAGGGAACATAAAAGCGAGGACGCTCATGAAAAACAGCTACTATGGAAACTGGGGAGGGGGGGCGGCACCTAGCCCTGTAAATATGGGGCTGCGGCGAGCAGAAACCTTCGCGGCTGGAGGGGGAGTGCCAAGTAAGAAAACAAGGGTGACGGGCTGCGAGGCTGGGGCAGCCCTAACCCCCGTTTCCCTGCCCGCGGCGACGGCTACAGAGCGAGGCCGGCAATACAAATACAACGCGGATAACCTGGGTCTGTCCTCACATCAGAGTCTGTCTTGGGGCTCAAAGCCCTGGATGGCTGGGGAGCTGGAGGGGGGGTGGGGTGAAGGGTGGGGAAATGTTCTCTCTCCCCGCCCCAGCGTGGTGGGGCGATGGGGGCGCCCTGCCCCCCCCCCTTATGCCTTCCTGCTCTTCAGCGCCTTGGGCTTTGCAGACTTCTTGACCTTTTTGCCCCCCGGGGAGGCGGCTTTCTTGGCAGCCTTCTTGGCTTTGCCCTTGTCTTTCCTGGCGGCTGCGCTGCTGGCTCCTTTCTTGTGAGATTTCTTCTCGGGCTTCTTGCTCTTGGGGGCCGGTTTCTTGTCCGCCCTCCGGGAGGTGGAGGCTGCAGCCTTCTTGTGGGACTTGGGGGCGCTGCTGCCAGCGCTCCCCTCGCTGCCCCCTTCCAGCTTCTTCCTGTTGAGCTTGAAGGAGCCGTTGGCGCCGGTGCCCTTGACCTGGAGCAGGGTGTCGTTCTGCACCAGCGCCTTGATGGAGTATTTCAGGTAGGTCCGCCCGTTCTGCTGGTCGAACCAGGACACCTTCTTGGCCTCATTGTAGATCTTGGCTAGCGAGGAGCCGTTGCGCTCGCCCAGCTTGCGGATCGTCTCCACCACCAGCTGGCTGTACTTGCCCGGCTGGTTCTTCTTCTTGTTGTTTTTCTTCTTTTTGGAGGGAGACAGTGACGAGCCCCCGCCCTTCGCTTTTTTGGCGCCACCTTTCTTCTCCGGGGCCAGGGGCGCTTCCTCCGCCTCAGTCAGAGGCAGGTCGGCTTCTTCCAGCTCCACCGACATGCTGGCTGGGACTGCTCAGATTGCAGGGAAGACGCCGATCGATGCCGCAGCTAATCAGTGCACGGACTCGCGGCCGCTGCTTGGGACCGCCCCGGCCGAGCTGGCTGGTTGCTCGCTAGCGCAGGCGTCAGTGGGGAAGCACCAGGGGCCGGCCGCTCGCTCCGCTCCAGCTCAGAGCTGCAATCCGCCTGGCTGCCTGGGCGGGCTCCGAGGCAGCCCTTTATATGCACAATGTGCGGACCACGTTGAGAACAACAACAGCCTGGGCCAGGGCCAGCTCCAACTTGTGCTTCTTGCAGCCCCTTTGCGGGGCTCTAGCTCCCAGGTCCTACACGTCAGCGCTGAGGCGGCCCCACAAAACCCTGCTCCTGACGGTGCCTGACCCCGCTGCCCTGCAGCCGGGGCTCCCTGGGCCCGAGAAAGGTCCCCGAGAAGCGATTTAAAGAGCACACCCTATGCTGGGGAGAGACAGAGGAGGGGGGCGCCCCGAATAGGGGGGTCTGGGCCTCCCAGGAGGACTTATCCAGCCGCATTATCCCACAGGCCGGGTAGCGAAGAGGGGGGTCTTCGGCTGGGTCCCCTCTGCGGGCGGCGGGGATCCCTGGCGGCTTTTCTGTCCCGGGGATAATTTGTTGTAACTAACACACTGGACGCCCTCACGTGGTCGGCAGCAGCAACACGGAGCAAGCGAGACGCTTCCAGGGGGGTCCCCGCCCGATATGGAGGGGCCGAGGTTCTGAGACGCCAGGGATCTCCGCGGCCAGGACCCCGCTGCTAGAGGGACCCCACCGGGCGGTTGAGCGGTGTCACCCAATTTGTGTCTGGGGTGGTTAGATTCCCCCCCCTCGCGGCAGGCGCTGCTTAGACCTATATTAAAATACAGGGGTTCGGGGAGGCAGGAGCCCTCGATCATTGCTATAGGGCGGGCTGCGTGTGCAGGGCCGGGGGCTGCGTCCCAGATAATCTCGGGGAGGGGGGGTGCAGCGAAGGGTTTTATCGTTGGGGACTTGCGGAAAGAGGGGGAGCTCTCAGGCGTCTCGCTCTGGAAAGAGGGGTTAACCCCCCCATACACACATCGCGCCCCTCGCACGGGTGTCTGTGCATACTGCTGCCCCATGCCCACTGGAAGGGGCGACATACATGCCCCCCGGCAGCCCGGAGCGTGTCTGCGGGCTCCCCGATGGCGCTGCAGTGGCAAGGGGGATAGCGCAGGAAAAGATCGCGCCCCTCCTGTCCCCGGCGGCTCCCCGTGGCGGGGCGGCTGGATTTCCCCCGCCATTCCCATCCCAAAATTTCATCACAATTCATGCCCCTTCTTCCGCCCACCAAAAAAAATATTTTAAGAAACAAACTCTGGCGGGCGGAGCTGAGCCCTTTGTGTCAGCGTGGGGCAGGGGATGGTGGGCGGGCAATGTCCAAATCTCCCCGCCAGATCGCTGCCTCCTGGGTCGCCTTGGGAGGGGGCGACGCCCCCTCGTCTGTCCTGGGGAGCGGGTCACTGACCCTGCGTATCCAGCAGCAGCCAATCCCCCGCCGGGGGGATCAGGCCCTGGGGCATCTCCGCCTCTGTCCGGGTCAGGAGGGGGCGCAGGGCCGGGGTGATGTAGAGGGCTAGGGCCGCGGGAGGGCAGAACATCACTGGCACTGTCCACCGCCTCCCCCGCAGGAAGGGGCGTGTGTGCAGCGGGGCGGGCGGCTCTTTGCAGGCTGCCCGCATCCGCCGCCCAAGCCCGCCCCCGAGCCACCTGGGCAGGGGACGATGCGATGACCAGAATCCGGAGCGGGCCGCTGAGCGATGCCCCCATGCCACGAGGGGGGGACCAGTGGTGGTGGTGGGGGGGCGGGGGCTGCAGCTCTGTTCCCCGCCCGCCGCCCCTGCAGGTGGGCGTCAGTCGGTGCGCGGGGCAGGGCGGTGCGGAGTTACAGGGGCTCAGAGTCTTGTCTGGGGAAAGCGGCGATTCCCCTCCGCTGCTGCCAAAACTGGGGGAGGTCCCGCCGGAACGCCCGTCTTGTCACCCCACTTCTGGTCTGGAAAGGGGGGGGGGCAAGGGAAACCTGCGTCCCTCGCTCCTCAGCTGCACCCCCCCCCAGAACCCCCTGTACATGGGAGGAGGAGCGTCCGGTCCCCCAAAGCCCGCCACTCACTCCAGCAGCGGGACAAATACTGATAATTCTTCCCCCCCCCCGCCTCTCCCCACTCCCTTCCTATCTACCCCCCACACCATCGCCCCACTCCCTTCCCTTCCAGCCCCGCCCCTGCCTTTCTGCCCCACCATCTCCCCCAGCTCCCTTTCCCATTCCCATCTGCCCCCAACACCCTCTCCCTTCCACTCCCGCTTCCTGTCTGCCCCCTTCCTCTCTCCCCACTTCCCATCTGCCCCCCATTGCCTCCCTTCCCTCTTCCCCACTACCTCCTCCACTCCCTTGCCCCATCCCCTCTCCCCCACATCCTCTCCCTTTAACCCCACCCTTCCTGTCAGCCCCTCACACTGCCTCCACCACTGCCTTATGTCTCTGTCATGTTTGCCCCCCACACACAACCATTCCCATCTGCCCCACCGCCTTCCCCACTCCCTTCCCATCTGTGCCCTCCCCCCCCCCCCCGCCCACACACCTCCCCTGCCTCCCCCACCGCCGATCTCTGCTCCCTTCTCTGCTGTCAGGGGACAGCCACCCACCACCTGCCTCACCTCCGCTCCACTCTCCTCTGCACATAGAAACACCCCCCCGACCCCGGCCAAAAAAAAAAATCTGTTCCCTTACACCCAGCCTTCTTTCCTGTAGTTCCCATTGCACTTTCACCCTCTCTCTTTCCATAGCAAATTCTCTGATGGACTCAGCTATCTCAGGTTTGGTCTGCTGTACCTGCTGCCCTCCTACCTTTGTTCTTGCTGTGATTGAATGCAGCACACTACTGTATGAGGCATCAGATCTCAGATGATGCCCCATCATACACAGACTGGTACTGTCCAAAAGTGAAGCAGGAGAGCAGCCAGGCCCAGCCACCGCCCCTGCTGGCCTCCCTACCCCCTCCCCTTACTTGTCTCCAGATAAAGTGAAGCTTTGTTGAGCCCTGCATCCCACAACAGGTTAGGGATAAATGGATCTGTGCTTAGTCTGACGGAGCTTGTGGGGGACAGCCTGTGAGTTTGTGTGTGAGAGCTGAGGTCCCTTTCTCCCGTATGTCGGAGATGTGTATGCTTTAAGGGCAGGGGCATTAGAGAAGGGCCCCCCTCACAGCCTGTGCCCTTAGCACCAGAGCTTCTTAGGCCCTGTTTCAGCCATGGCTGAAGAAATATGGGGCCGAAGAGGCAAAAGTAAGCTGGTGGGAAATGTCCCTAAGATATCTGTTGCTGGGCTAATAATGCTAAATACATTCTCTAGCCAATCAGTGCAGGATCACTTCCTTTACAAATACTAATGAATTAAGCCTGGTAGCATCCCTGGGAACTGGTGAACATCAGTAAAGCTCTTGTATATCAAGTTCCAACCCTGACAGCATTTATTTAGCTGTCATATCCCTCTGAAAAATTATGGGGTCAAAACACACACACACACACACTCTCTCTCTCTCTCTTCAAAGCAGCCATTAATTTTGCGTGCCTTGATTTCCAGGTACTCAACTTGCATCTAAGAAGCTGCAGCTTCCATTGACTCCATTTGGAGCTGTGGTGCTCACAGTCTCTGAAAAGCTGATCCTTAACCTCCATCCCTCAGTTTCCCTGTTTGTACACTACAGATTAAAAATAGTTCATTGGTGGTTGAAGTCATACACACAAGGGAGGCAGCATGGACAGCATACGGAGCTGGGATTCAGAACACCTCTGCAACTGGTTTGTTGGGTGACCTTGGTCAAGCCATTTCACCACCTTTTGCCTTACTTTCCCTATCTGTAAAATGGGGATAAGGATGTAAAGCACTTGGCACTCTAGTCATGAAAACTACTATGTAGGAGTTAAATATTATTATTACATGTTCGTGACATACTTTGACAGTTCCTAGTGGGGGGGCCACTAAAGAACAGCAAAGTATTACTAATAACTGAGCTCTGATTACGACCATAGCTTGTCAGAATAGTGTTACATTACAATCACAGAGCAAATTATAGAATCATAGGCTATCAGGGTTGGAAGGGACCTCAGGAGGGCATCTAGTCCAACCCCCTGCTCAAAGCAGGACCAATCCCCAACGACCTCACTGCAAATCTGGGAGAAATGACATTTCCCATGATCTGTGCCCCAACCTTCAACTCCTGACAATCCGGGGGGCGGTGACAGCTGATTGTTCTGACATTTGACATGGCTATTTTCAACCTCATCCTGTGTGAATGCACTCAGCTCTTATTAGCCACTGCCCCCCCGGTCCTGCGTGCATTCAAGTAAATGGGCTCTGCATCCTGCAGGATTGGGTGCATTATCTGTGACTGTGGCAGAAACCAGGCATCTACAGAGACCAGCATCTCTGGCTCCATGCCTTGCATGTGTGAAGATTTTTCAGAGAGGCCAGGAAAATGGGTCGTGACGTACCAAGACTCTGTAATTTCCCTTCCCAGATTCTAGTGCTACCTCTGACTCAGCCTCCTGAGCTATCAATCCGTTTCTTTCATGTACAGTGAAAATGCGTATTTAATAAGCTCTCCTCCACCACAGCCCAGCAGAGATGGAGCCACTTAAAAATGGGCATGTGCCAAAACCCACAATTATCAGCTGAAGGCAGCACAGCTATATCCTATATACACACCCAGACTTCTCTACTAAGTCCCCTCAATTGCCCTTTGAGCCCAGCTAGAAAGTGGGAAATAAATGCCTTATCAGGCCGTAAACCCAGCTCCCACTTCAGTGCTCCCAAACAAAAGCAGTTAGCACAGACTCTCAATAACAATGGAATTGACTATGGGGAATCTTAGCAACTCGATTTAGATTTAGATTTGTCCTTAATTATGCAGTTATCCAAGTGAAGAGACAGTCCCAGGCACCTGTGGACCACAAGGCCTGGCTGAACAGCATTTATGGAGTAATAAATGGTAATAGCTTACCAGCTATTAATAAATGGTAATAGCTTACCAGCAGGACAGTGGGGTGGGAGGAGGTATTGTTTCATATTCTCTGTGTGTATATAAAGTCTGCTGCAGTTTCCACGGTATGCATCCGATGAAGTGAGCTGTAGCTCACGAAAGCTCATGCTCAAATAAATTGGTTAGTCTCTAAGGTGCCACAAGTACTCC